TTATTATAAATAAAAATAAATAATATATATATATATATATATATATATATATACTAGCTATATACTATGCACATGTATATATATATATATATATATATATATGATGTGTACAATGTTTTAAAATCCGGCTTCGCTATTGTTAGCCAGATAAAACTTTGCCGCGAACAATTTTCAACTGAAACGTCCGCGTTGCTTTTATTCCTTGTTTCTCTTTGTTTAACGCATAGTGTGACGAATCATTGTTTTTGCAAGCAAATTCTGTGTTGATACTCATTGTAATTCAGTACGTAATTTGGTACGAAGCGTAGATGATCGTGGTAAATCGACATTTCGATGTGTTGTTTAATCGACGAACTGTTTACAGCGTCATTAGTGTATTATTACGACATAACGATATAACGATATACTGCACTGCTAACCATGATCCTGCATGAAACTACGTATCTTTTGTGTTCACATGTAATTAGACTATCGATGTTATAAACGATAAGCATACGCCTACGATTAGATATGGAATATATCGTCTGTATAATAAAGATTTTCTTGACTAAGTTGCAATTGCCGATTTTTTCATTGTCGAAATGTTAAAGTATATAAAATAATTTTACTGCTAAAAATAACTTTGCCCAAACAAATTTATAAGAGCGTATCGTTTTCATAATTTTTTAAAAGTATTGTGAATTCAATGTTTTTTCCTAACACTATTATCAAGAAAATAAGTAATTCTTAAGGTAAGGAATAGGTAATGTTTTTGTGAATCTATTTTAAAGGATGTGTTACAAAGTAACACACATGCGACAATACATGTATAATGTTGCATTGCTAGTGAGTTCTAAATCCGGACTCTGACTAATCCGGCTAATAGCATTTCGCATTATAAAATCCTTTGAAGAAACATACTTTGTATTAACATTATGAACGAATAATATCCTTTCATGTATTTTACTTGTATAGCGTGCAGTATTAATGTATTATATTCTTATTGAAGATATCAGTTCTCTTTGAATAAAATGCCAATATTTTTGCACTGTAATTTTATCTTTTATCGAACGAACATATCAAATAACATATTGAATTAATGAAAGGCACATTTTAGGCTCGGACTATTTCGTGCTATAATTAAAGGAAATCTTTGCGCGTGGTATTTATGTATAATCGGCATTCCCATATCAGTTGACTAATACCAATGTGTTATATATTAGTCAAAACGTGTGTAATTCATGGTGTAATTACAGATTATTACTTTGCTATTGCTGTACGCACGAATGACATATAGAAATAAATTGCTTTAAATTGATTTTAATTCATATAAAAATTCATATAAAAATTATAGAAAAAACAAATTTTATAAAGAAACTATTCTAAAATAATGTTTGTTTTTGTAATAGTGAAATAAATATACAAATTTATAATTGTACAATATTACAATTTTAATCTCTCTTTAATATATAAATCCTACAGTTTAATCGTAATGCATGATAGTTTAAGCATCATCCAATTATGCAAAATGTTCTTCGTAATAAGTCAAACATCGCGTTATCATTATCGTAATTAAAACCTAGATATACTTGGAAAATATATAACAGAAATCCAGTGCTTGTTAAAGGGCACTTTTTCAATAGAAGAGTAAAATAAACGCTAGCATAAAATAAACACTACAGATTCCATAATAGCAAACAGAAATATAAAATTAATGTACTTAGTTTATTAAACTCTAAATCAATTAGAATAAAATATTATAAAGAGACATTTACGTTTAAGATTTAAAATATTATTATAACAAAGTTAAAAATGTATTGTTAAAGATATTTTTATTTGTACAAATCTGAAAATAAAAATATTTTTTTTGTAATATTTTACATATACTTTATATATATTTATCTTTTAATAAAATTAAAAAAAAGAAATATGTTACATTAAATGTTTTGGAGCAATGTATTTCCATGAATTGCTTTTCATATATGTGGATAAATATATGTTTGTCATCAATCGAATATATTTTTTATCATCGTCGATAATTCCCTTGTTATTTTTTAAAAAACACATAAAATGCACAATGCAGATCAAACATTTTTTCGTATAATATTATTGGAATTCTTTTTTCCTTTTTAAAGCGTAAAAAAACCTTACAACGCTTGTCTCTGTTTATTGATAGTAAAAAATCATGTAAAAAATATTATTGTTATTAATATTTTTATTTTTACAAAAAAAATAAAAGAAAAATAAGTCATATATGTACAAATCCATCTCGTATCGTTGCTATGCCAGAATAAAAACAAGAAGAAAAAAGCAATAAGTTAATATTGAAGTTAAAATTAGATAAAAACTACTTTGTTCATATTATTCTATATATTTTTTCCTTTATAATTTTATACATATTCTACAATTTTTGGATTCTTCTTTAACTATAAATTTTGCTATCAAATTAGTTTTTCTTCTTGGTATAAAATCTATTCTTAAGTCTCAATTTTAAATAAAATATATATCTAATTCAATAAAAATAGAGCATTATATTTAATTTTTAATAAAAATATTAAATTATGGCACAAAGAAAGTAAAGCGATAGATAATATTGTATTCAATAAGATTCATCTATCGTTATTAATTACTCAAAGATATTGGTAAGATTATTCTAATTAATGTAAATTGGCATGTACAGAAACGCGGATATCGGATGAAATCTCTAAGGAACACTTCGGATTCGAGTTTGTACGCTTGATTGCAACGTGCAACTAAGCAATATTGCTCGGAGTAAATATCAAGAGGAGCGAATCACAATCGAGAGACACAATTAATTGACTTAGCAACTTGGAGGAAATAAAGTTATCTTACTTGGAATAAAAGAGCTAGAGAGATGTATAAATTTTTAAAATAATTAAATTATTTTCGTCAATAAAATAATTTTTCAATATATTTTCTACATATCTTCGTAACATATCATGTAATATAAATACAATAATAAAAAATTATAAAATATTTTAAGCTTTGTATCTTTTATTTTATATTAATTAATTCATAAATTAATTTATTTGTTGATTTCTTTATTATTTATTCGTCAATATATCTGCATTTAAATTCATTTGAAAAAGCCCAATATATATCAATACGTATTACTAATTTTGTATATTTTTGTAATATTTCGCATCAAGTACAAGTCATATGAAATCAATAATAAGAATAATAGCAAATCCAACGTTATTAAAATATTCAGAGACTTTGATTGGACTTTAATTATCAAAGTTTCATGCTCTGAATATTCATGTGTGCATATGCATTTAACGCATTTGACGTATTTGAAGCTATACGATCTCTAAATATAGACCGCGAACCACAAAACGCAATTACAGGGTGATAACCCTGGAATGAGCATAATCGCGATAGTTACAAATCATGGACATGGCAAATTACCAAAACCGTAAGTGATTCAAGAAAATATGTCGCTTGCAGCTAATAATTGTGTACGAATAACATGTTATAATATTTTTAACGTTGCTCAGCAAAAGATGAAAATTCTAAGAATGTTTAAAACAAGAAAATTTAAAACAGATTTTGTAATTTATATTAAAATGTAACAATAACGCAGTTTTTTTATCAAAGAAATTATTTCATTAATATGTCAACATTTTAAAGACACAAAAAGTTATTTTATTTGTTTTTGATTAAAATCCTAATGTTGATAATTATTTTATAAAAATTTTAGTATGTTTATATTACAACTTTAATTATTATGGTGACATATTGAGAGAGCTTAGCCAAAATTTAGCTTAAAATTAGCTTTAAAAAAAAATTCAAAGAAGATGCCTAATTAAGTCACGGCATGAGTTAAACTTGCTCAGCATTATGTATTCAGGTCTCAATATAATACTTTAATTACCTGGCAGCGAGGTCGTTATTGCCGCGTATAATCCCAGCATCCTCGCTGAAAATGAAAATCCTCGTGGGTCCGCGGTACCACTTGATGCTATGCAGACCCTCACATTGCGGTGATTTCAGGACGCAGGGCAGTAAAATCTCTGTTCCCAGTTCGGCATGCTTCTCGCTTCTCAACCATGGGTCGCCGCCTAAAACAAACATACATTAGTGAAGATTTGTATAAAATTGAGTTCGTAATTGAGGCTATATATCGGTAGCGTCTGACAAAACATAATCAACGAGCAAATTGTTTTGTTACGCAATATACGAGATTATGCTAGATAATTTACGCAATTTCATATGTCCATATATTCCATATATAGAAATATGAATAATCTACATTCAATAAAAGATATAATTATTAATTATTATACAGTAATATATTTCGTGTTTATTACATTAATTCGTATTTATTATACATACTCGCGATTTATGCGCTTTCAAAACACGTTATTATTGAAATTGAATGTCTTATAAGGGAAAGATCACGGTAATTAATACGATAATTGACATTGCAAAGTGGAAAAAGTTCGCGATTCGCCTCGAGAAAGGATTGGATTCTGAAGCCGTATTGTGTGGCACAGTAAATATTACATTTTTCAAGGAAATTGAGGAATAATGGAGAATTTGCCGTAGGGAATCACATTATGATATCTTTCCGTCTTTCAAATGTGTGAGAAGTTTGTTTCAACTTGGATATTACAGGATGACTCTTCATTCGCTTATCTTTCTTCGAAGCGGTTTTTCGAAGAGAAAAATCCATTTCCCTCGTCATTTCGCACTTTGTGCAAAAGTCATAAAGAACTTTGCTTCTTTTTTTCGCAAAACTCATCCGCAATGTTCCGCCCACGAGCAAGCGCTCGAAACAATTAACATTGTTGAGATACTGAATTGAGTTTTAAAAGCATTGCGAAAGGAAAGAAAAGATTATTCTACATTAGTGATATTACACTCTTTATAATCACGAACTCTTTTACTAACTTCATTTGACAATATCAATCCGTGTTTTTAATTCAAAATTAATTCGACGAATTACACTTAAATGTAGGAGGTATTATATTTTCTACAGTTTCAATTTCTATTGTTTAAAATAGAACATAAATAATTCGATGAAAACTCTGTTTTAACAAAATAACTGTGTTAAATCATTTATAAATCGTGAAATGCGAGAGTTAATTAATTACATACATTAATTTGTGTATTTCTTTCTTTTAACAGACAGAAATAAAATTATACAAGGTCTTGAAAAAACAAGTTATCAAATTACTAAACTATATTAAACTATACTAAATACTGTATTTTGTAATAGTATTAATTATTTTATTGATATTTATTGAGCTTTTATGAAACTACTTATGAATCTAAAGCGGAAAAATTTAAACGATAAATAATATGGGTAACATGTATTTATAATAACTTTTCGTATCAACTGCTGTTACTCGCGAGAGAATATATGGCGCACTAATAATCAAATATAAAAGGATTATGATTTATGGGTATAAATATTTATAAATATAATTTATCCGTTCAACATGAATATTCATTTCTGTTGATTAAATTTTTATGACCTTAGTATAATTTAAGTAATTTAAGTTTTCAGGTGCAAACATTCAGGTGCTAAGAAAAATTTCAATGAAAAATTCAATGAAAAATTGATTCGGAAATTTGCGCCAAATTAATCCTACCTGTCTACATCATTTACATTATGTCATTATCTCGCCGCAGCAATTCTCGCAAAAGTTTTTGCGTCAGCATCCGCAAAGTGACTGTGCAAATTAATGAATATTGCATAAAGAGATTGATTGTATGTGCGTGAAGTTATTATAGTATGAAATATTAAGTTAGGAGAAAGATGAAAGTTAAGTATATGCATTCTTAATTAAAATGTAACTCAGAATGTAATAATAATATTAATATCTTACAAGGAAATAATTCTGTGCGCTGTAAAATTGTAATAATTTTATCGCACGTCAAATTAAGTCAGTCACATAAAATATTATATTTTTTTTTAAACTAAGCTTAATTAAATAAAAGAGTTAATTCGATATAGAAAATATCTTCATTATTGAGTTTTCACATTAAAATATTTTTTTTGGAAATCTCTATAGAAATATGGCGGTACTTATGCGTTAAACGAGCATCTTGATGTGCCATGAAAACTGTTTGAAGTATCACGGTGGAAATGCTGTTTGCATTTGTGAGCATCCGTTGCATTTAACGCCACTAATTAGTAGCGCCCGTAGTTAAACTTTGCTACGTATGCATAAAGTTTTTACGAGCGCAGAAACGGGCTCTAACAATGATATTATTGTACTTGATAGCACTTATAGTTTCCGTCAGTTTTCGTTGACCGAAACTTCTTGCGGGAAGGGAACCATGCAAGTATGATATTGCGAAATACTGTATATACATTTCGTCGTCTTTCGCAAACTTATTAATAATTACTCATTAACAAATAATTGTCAATCTAACATCGATAGCAAGATTTAATCTTTTAATTACAGTAAATCATTTTTTTATATAATTTTTATATAATTACTGACAGTCAAGTTTAAAATAAAGTAAAAATATTGTAGGTGTCTTCCTTACTGTGATTTTATTACAATTTGTAAAAATGAAAAATAATAAAAGTTATATCAAATAGTTATGTTAATACGTTGGATTAAGCTAAACGCAACAGTTTAATCTCGAATTAATTTAGCTAAATTCTGAAAAGTGGCAAATAAAAACTGAAAAGTTTGTCCTCAGTCTATTTTTTTGTGCAAATTGTTATATTTTTTATAAGAGTACAATGTATTAGAGAAATTAAATTTGTATATTTTTAATCATTTATACAAAAAATTCTTCTCTAGAATTATCGTTCATTTTCCCTCTTCTGTACATTAGGAGAGATAACCAATAACTACAATGAGACTGTATATTGCATCGATTATCACGGCGTCTTAACTCTTCAACAATCACAATTAATGCCATTAATGATATGTTTCGTGACTAAAGCTATTAATCATTCAGAACTGTTCGATTGGAATTGGTACTGTATGTTGATGTTTAGTTATGCCATATAATCACGATTACATGTCAAAGCTCATATTGCAAAGCTTACTTTTTCTGTAAAAAGATCAGCAACGGTACACGTGTTTGCCATGAAGTTTTGCCCGATATATGGCTAGCAAGCACGATCGGCGAGTTTACAGTTAAAGGTCCGTGAAATTAGTAGCACTTCGAGATGTCGACGTGACTCCAGAGACATTAAAATGTAAAATAAGCACTATGCTTTGGAACGAGCGCCATTGCGGAAGAGCACGTGCAGATAACGACGTTCTATCGCGGAGGTAGAAAAAGTTATCGACCTCGGATCCTCCGACGCGTGCTTAACCCATTTCGAAATTATACAAATTGCAGGCTGCATTTGCATAGAGCCGGGTCTGGAAGACAGAGTAGGCCGAGACGAGCGGACAGGAATTAACCGAGATGGAGATTTAGCGCCGTGACGAACAAACGATGCGCGTGTAAATATCGGAAATGGGAAATTTATGACATCCTCTCTATGCTGTTGCGTTTAAATAAGACACTTGAAACGAGACTCTTGTTGAGTACATAGTGCATAAATAAAAAAACGATTCTACTAAATTGCTGTTACGTCAAATTAGATTTTTTTTTTTTAGTATGTCAAAAGTAATATAGCTAACTACATAAAATGTATTTATTAAGAAAGAAAAGAACATTTATTTCAGTTGATAATAAATCTTGCATACGATTGCATATGATGTCACGTTTAGATATCATTTTTCTCATTCTGTATTGCTTCTCTCCCGTATTCCGCATTTCATGTCAGTTTGCAAAATTATTTCTATTATATTCATATTCATTATTTTAAAATGCGCGATATGTGGCTAATAGAGATGTCAAATAACAATTAAGTAAAAATAGAAAACGATACTTGCGAAATAATAATCATGATTTATGATATGAATCTATAAAATATTTTTATACGTCTTAAAATGTCTAATATTAATATTAGTAATATTTACAACATTTGAAAAACTATTAAGATATTATTAATTAAATCATCTCGTCGGTCTACAGCTTTATAATGATTTGATGATATATTAGGTTAAAAAATAATTATAATAAAAATTATTTGAATTTTCTGAATTATTTATAGAAAGTTATTTGCATTTCTGTGAATATCCATATTCGAAGGATGTATATTTGTGACTAATTATAATTTTTTGGGGCTACACTTTTACAGAAACAATTTTATTTCATTACTTTCAGAATTATAAATGTAGCAGTGATTTTTTTTCTTTTAGAAAGCTTTCTTTTAGAAAGCTTTCTTTTTTTAGAAGTTAAATTATTTTGTAGAAACAATAATGATAAAGGGTGCTTATATTGGACAAAATCATATGTTTATCATAGATTGTTGCAGAAATCCTATACAAACACTCGTAAGCATACAATAGAACTCGCCGCACGAATTGCTATTGTAATAGTTTCGAGGATTACTGGGATTACTAGAATTAACATTCAGAAAGCCTTCCGGGATTCTATTGAGTTGAAAGGATAACATGAAAGTTCTGATTTGAAACATGATGGAGGTGAATTTTTCTTGTCTCTATGCGTCTGAGCGAGAAATTCAATTTCTGACAAGGTTATCGTCATGACAGAAGTTTCTCGCATTATTTTCAGAATACAGCTTCAAATACGAGTATAATTAAATTTATCGATCGCAATTCCGTATTCAAGGTTTTTTAAGATCAACTGTCCCTTTATTAATATCTAAACGTTCGATATTAGATCTAATGCTTTTTTATTATTCATTACTTTCACGCATGATCAAGAACGTAACTTTAGAGTAACCTTATATCACGTGCATACGCTATACCTTGCAACATAACTTTTTTCTATAAAAAAGATAATGAGACGCCCTTTGATAGCGACGTCGTAGGCTTTTCCCCCTTGTCTTTAATCATTGAACTTTTGCAAAGGCATATAAGAGTCTATTATATTGTGTTATATTAAGTTGCTGTCACATGGGATATGTGCGTATCCGATAGAAGTGCCGTCAGAAATTAAGTGGCTGCGTGTACTTTTGCAAAAAGAGTTTATGGGTGTCATAATGAAAATTAATAGTAAAATTGCTGTTCAAAGGGGAAGCATTATGGTCTATTCTGGGATAAATTGGCTTGCACGCTTTGTGAAAGGTCGCGACATAAAAGCTTTATTACATATTTCAATGTGGTAATGAGATAAAATTGGGAAAACTCGTGATAGAAACCCAAGAAAAGAAAGAAAAAAAA